GCTGTACACAGCATGGATTAGCTGGTGTGAATTAGCTGGCTTTATTTGTAGTAGGGTGTACTTTTTCCTTTCTTCGGTCGTGTTTTAAGGGGTTCTTCCTCGCAGTGTTTAGGGAAAATGTTGGGAGACTTGCGTAACTTGAATTATTGGAGCTCTGATAGTGCTAACAACTGCATATCGTGTACTTTGTAACCGAAAGGGTTTTAAACCAGCCTGTAGTATTGCTTTAAAAAAACGCCTCAGCCTCTCATAGCCAAAGTACTTCTTGTCTTTGTATGCAATTTGAAATTTAATTTTTAGTATTAAAATGCCACCAAAATGTCATTGGTGTAGTAGTAAAAATAGATTTTGCGTATTTTCTGAAACATGGAGTATGAGACATAAGTGAGAGAGAATTTCTGTGAGCAGTGAAAGGAAATGCTTCTCTCCGTAGAGGATTGAGTGAAGAACAGAGAGGTCAATTTTAAAACCTTTCATTTTGTGTGATTACAGCCATGCTGCAAATGCCATTTCACTATAAGGGAGGACTTTAAAACATACCTTACCTCTTGATTTGTGCTGCAGGTCAGATTAACTAAAATGGTTATTGTGTCACCCTAGAGATTCCTGCTTGCTGCAAGACCAGACTTTAAACCCTATTTTTATTATTAAAAAGGCCAGCAGCAACAAAGACTATTTTACAAGTTCTGAGACGTTTTCATAGCAATTTGATCTTTATACACAGGTTTTTAGAACTCTCTGTACTGCAATTCTTAGTGATGTAAAAATCGGAAAAGGGGGAGAAGGAACATGAACATTCATTTGCCTCTTGCCTGGAGACTGTCCCCTCTCAATGCCCTTCTTGAGGAATGAATTTTGAGCAGAACATGTGTTGGACTCCTGTGTCGTGGTGGAACAGCAGCATCTTTCAGCAGATGAAGTGTAGGTCAGGTTGAGGGGAAACCTGCTAGTTTGTGGGTCCGATGTATGGTGCGGGTTCCCCTGGCTCTTGTTACACACTTCTGTCTTCAAGGGAAAAAACCCTTCTGTTTTCAAGATGCAAACCTGGGTATGACAGTTCCTATTTGTATCCTATTTTAGTCAGAGGCACCAATATTAGTAAAAACGTCCCCTAGAAGAGAAACAATACTAGATGCAGCTTCTCTGTGTTAGATTTTAATAAACTGTATATACTACTTTTGCTGTCTTGCACTTGCTGCAGTGATCTTTCTGCCCTAACTTGTGCGCTACAAAACTAACTGTTAAAGAAAGATTTGACTCAACATAGTTGCCTCTTGCTCTTTCCTAATCTTGTTTAGGAAAATCCAGCAGTAGTTAGTCAGCCAGTATCCTCGGGTATCCCTTGATGTTATCTGCCTGTCTTCTCCTTATCCTGTGCTTTTAACTGCTCACACAATGTTTGGACATTTAATCTCACACTTTTTAATGGAACAAAACTTGATGAAGAGATGGTTTTGCTGGCTTCAGCAGGGTAATTTGGATGCCTGCCCATATCGCTTAATGGGGATCTGTTGAGTCCATTATGGAGATTGAGCGTTTAAATTCATTTGTCTTAATTATGTTCTCAGAAAAATCCCCGAGATGTCTAGAATGCAACAAGACTATGATTTCTTTCTTTCTTTTGCTTCAAAACCCTGGTGAGATTCTGCCTGATTTGAAAAATCCTTTGACTGGTTACGAGGTGGAAGATGTATTGAGGAGAGTAGATGATGGTCATGACATGCGTTTCTGGCGTTGTCTTGGGAACTGCATAACCAAAGATGCATCAATTCTGTTCCTAGAAAACGCATCTTTTTCATACCGTCCACCAAGTGTCATCCTGTCCTTTGTATTGATGGGTTTTCTGCCAGCACTGCCATCCAGCAGCAGTGCTTGCTCCTGCAGGGCACCCGTGTCGACAGCATGCTTTGTCAGCTTGAATTGCAGAGGCTAAATGGTGATGGTGCCCAGGTGCTACCCACCCAGTCCCCTCCACCCTGTGCTGATGCCAACCCAAAGCCCCCTCAGTATTTAATTCATAGCTCTGCCTCTTGTCCTCCATCTTCACCATGGCTGCCCATCAACATCAGCTGTAAAAAGGAGGGGGGGGCTTATTTCAGTGCAGCTTCAAGCCAGTGACCAAATGTTCAGCAGCCACCCATTTCTGACAGTGGAATTGCAGTGAAGCTGATCTGTACGTGTTTTGCAGGGTTGGGGGAGGATTGGGGGGTATACGTTTTCTAATGACTCCCAGGGATGGGAGCACAAGGTTAGGCTAATAAAGGCTTTTGTTTTGTTTTAAGTTCAAGGGTTTTAAAAGTCCTTTTCATTTTAAGTCTAATGGTTCTTAAAAGTAAAGCAAATCATCTTTCCCCTTCTGGTTTTCTTTGCCACCGGAGCCTTTTGGAATTTAATGTGCCCCCAGAGGGGTTGCTGTGTGCATGGCACGTTGTAATGCCTCTTCTCATGGCAAGAAGACTGTGGTGTATGTGCGACCACCGAGACGACTGACCTGCATTGCTAGCGGGAAGGTGTACTTCTGCGGTCATGCTCTGTAGCTGCCTGTAAGTGGGGGTGGCTCCAGGTTTTGGAGGCCTGGGCAGCTGGGGCTGGAAGTCAGCACGTACCTCTGCCAAAGAATCTCAGCGTTTTATTGCTCCCAGTTAATCCAGGGGGTGATGAAGACGTCACGTAAGAATAGTTTCTAAGCCTCAGTGTTTCACAGAGTTTGTGAAGTTTCAAGTTACTTTTTCAGATTTAGTCTTTTTTCCCCCCATTCCTGATTGGTTGCAATGTGTTCCTGAGTATAAACATACATATTTAAGACTGAGATTAAAGGCAAGTTTATCTTAAACATCTTATGCAAGTAGGCCAGCTGGACGTAACGTCAGACAATTGCAGAACTGTAATTTTCAAGTTGAAGGGACATAAAACCTTCCAGTCTCTAAAACATTCTTGAAAGCAATACTATATACTTTGAAAATGACAAACAAAAAAAAACTGTTCAGAACTGAAGTAATTCTGATAAATACAGTTATAAATGTTTACACTGCATGCAAAAGCAAGAATAGTATGTGTGGTAACTGAATGGTGGTATCTAGCATTGAAGAATTACTACTTCATTTCTGTAAGGAAAAGCCTACATAGTGTAATCAAAGGTGATTTGCAAATGGTGCTATTTTCATAACTGAATCATTTGTCTCATTCAAAAAAAAAAAAACCCAAAACAAACAAAAACCCACCCCAAAAAAACCCAACTGCTCTCAACATATGTATGTCAAAGCCTTGCATTCCCTGATATCTGTTGAAAAATCTTGAGCATGTGTATAGAGTCCTACAGGGCAGGATATCCTTTTAGGAATCTTGCACTGAAATACTGTTTCTCTTTAAATAGCCTAGCTGGCTGCTATACTTGATGTGAAGCTGCCAGCATCACTAAAGTAAGAACAAGTCTACCAATCTGAAGTAAAATAACCGACATGCCAAAAAAACCCCCCCACCCAACCCAAAAAAAACAAACCCCAAAAAACAGCCCAAACAAAAAACCAAACTCTCAACAACAAAAAAAAGCCTGCCCCTGCACCAAACCCCATGGTATTTTTTTCTTTTTTATTGTGGATTCTTTCTTAAGTAGTAGCAAGTGGGGGAGTAATGCTGTGTAGGTGCTACAAGCTTGGTTCTTAACCAGATTAATTTCTCTTCTCCAAGTGGGATCTCTGAGAACTGAAAAGCAAATGAAAACATAGTGTGTTGCAAGCTTAGAAAGTAAAATTTCTGTACTTATTAAACGAGGAATTCCAATTAATTTTTTTTTATGATTTGTGGGGTTGAGGGAAGGGAGGAGCGTTGGATGCTTTGCTATCATGATATGGCTGTACTTTCTTTAAAGACATGGACATGCATGAATGTAGAGAATTCCCATCCAAACAGATTGTGTAAGTCCTGAGAGTGGGGAGAGCGTGGACTAAGGAGCTGTTCTAGTTGTATGTAAGAACATTTAAGGGTTAGCATCAAACCTAAAGGTTTGTGTTTAAGGACAAACTCAACCTGAGTAAATAGAAAAGCTTCCTTCTCTACAAAGAGAAAGCGAGAGCACTCCCCTCCACCCATGCTCCAAGCTGGACAGCTGGCAGATCTGGAGGCAGCGTGGCTGCACTAGCAAGGTGGCCAGTCCAAGCTAGTAAGTCTGTCAGCAGATTTGACTGGGTTGATGTCCAGAGCAGCTGGCATCTATAGTTATGAATAGAATGAAGTAGTATGCACCTTGAAATGCAGAGATAGAACTTCTTGGTTTAATCCTCTCGACTATGGGTTTCTCTGCCATCCCAAGTTTATTTAACCCAGGCAGAGGTTCTTTCTAAGGATTTCTTTGCGCTGAATGGTTTTTGGAGGTGAGTGAAAGCTAATATATGCAGTGTATCTCTAACTTGCTTCAGATATGCCTGAAGATTCAAATATGCACTGGGAAAAGAAGGAACGTCAGTGAACTGACAGCATCCTGTTCAGTTGGATAATAAGATGTTTCAGAATGGCAATGGCAATACTGAGTGCTGGGTTCAGGTAATATAGCGTGAAGAAATTAAGTGTCTTGCTTGTGCAGACATGATTTGAGATTTTTGAATTAAGATTATGCCTAGTTCACAGAACTCAGCAACTTTAACTTTTAATACTAATCTGGCTTCATAAACTAATTCTGATCAATATTTTCTGTTAATCAGAAATGGCAAAGCTGACAAGCTGAGGAACCAGCAGCAAGGCTCATGCTAAGGCTGCGGTGATACCACAATGTGGTCTCCATCAAAAGTGTTACTTATATAGTGCTGTCTATAGGGCTGTTAGCATTTCAAGGCTCTAAGTGTGACTCAGTATTGTAATCTGTCAAAAACGTCCAGAAAGACAGGAAAAGACGCTGTGAAATACACTGGGGGGACTGCAGAGGTGTCTGAAGGTGCCATAAAGACAACAAGACCTTTAGGATACTGTATATGGTAATTAATGTAGATGTTTTCTTTTTAAATTAGATGCAGCAATTGGAGTTAGCACAAATGCAACAAAGAGAAGCCAACCTCACAGCTTTGGCAGCCATTGGACCAAGGAAGAAAAGACCACTGGATTCATCAAATGCTGGATCTGGGCTGGAGGTACGGAGATGCCTTGCATGTTGTTGTATCTTCGTACTGAATTGTTTTTATCCTTCCCTGTAGGAAGAAGTGAGAATTCTCTTAAACAAAATGGCTGGTTATGTGCTGTCAGAAAACCAGTCTGTTTGTTAGATACTTGAAAGGATTGTTCCTGGTAAATTTGCTGGGGATGTTTAATTGTGTGTTACAGGAAGAACTGCAGATAAGAGCACTGTGTGTAAAGGACTGAACAAAATGGTGGCTCATAGAAACTTACATCTGCTGTGGAGGGTAGTGAAGCTCTGGTGGTCTTCCACAGCAGCTAGTTGTCGTAGCTCCTCAGCTGAACTCAAGATGGCTGGTTTGGATGGCTTTTGAAACAGCCCTTGCTTTCATATTTGGCTGTGGAGTTTTTTCCATGCACAATGCACTAGGGACTCTTCAAATACACTGTGAGTTCGCCTTGGCTAGATTCCCCCAAAAAGCAATAAATAAATAAGTAAAGCTAGACCATTCAGTTCCTGCAGTGAGCCAGATCACCTTTTCTGGCTCATGCTGCATTTTAAAAGTGCCTTGAAGGTGCTTTTAACAAATCTTGGTCTGAACAAATTTCTTAATGTTGTGCTGGAGATTTACTGTTTCCGGGACCTGGGAAGCTTACAGGGCTGCAGAAGTTCTTCCCAAAGAGACTGACGGCCTACTTCTGTTAGGGATCATCAACTTGGCTGGAGACGGTAGAAATGTGTTGCGGCCTGTCATTTGAGTGTTGTTGCCAGTTTTGCCCCTCTTCCTCATGAAGCCTCGACGTTGCTCAAGTGAATGGCTTGGTTGGCTTGTGACATGGGGAACAGAAGCCTGGGAAGTAACTCTTGTGTGGAAGAAGTTGTCCTTTCTGATAAACCTGAAGCCTTTTTCATTCTTGTGGCTGAGGAAGTTTAAATAGATGCTAGGATTGAAAATAGTCTGGTGCTTTTGCATACTGGAGTCTGGAAGGACCTCGTATAAAGCTCAGTTATTTGCAGTGTAACTGAGACAGTGGTGGCATCTGTCTTGTAGGTTTTCCCTCAGCCTGGACTGTGACAAGAGACCTCTCTAAGGGGGAGTGAGGTAGCTTTGTTTCTTGGATCTGAGGTGAAGACACAATTAGCTCCTTGAACACTCCCTGTTTACCGCAAGTGAAGGAATCTGTACCTAAAGGAGCTGCTTTGTTCCCAGCTTTTGAGCAGCTATTCTTCACTTCTTTGAAGTTTTTTAATACACTTTCACATGAAGCTGAAGGAATAGTTGTTTTTTTTTTTTTTATACTTTCACATGAAGCTGAAGGAATAGTTATTTTTTTTTTTTATAATACCACTGGAAAAACTTGAAAAAAATGCGTCTAGCACAAGAACAGTTTTCCCCATCCTTTTCTCCTGTTCCCCCAAGCTTCTATCGAGTAACCATTCCTGTTCTTCGTAGTGGTTTTCTGTAATTATTGCCGGATTTGTTTCTGAATGTTTAACAAGTCTGCCTCTTAGGTACTTTTCGGCTATTTCTCATCGTCTGTGGTGTGTCTGCTTTATTAAAAGCTTCATAAGATTGTGTCAAAGTGAGACAGATAACAGTGCTGCTATTGAAAGGTGGTGATCCATTATTTACATTGCCAGTTTAGAAGAACGTGGGCATAACATGTCTAAAACTGACCGTAAACCTTGATAGCATTTCATTGTCACAAATTTACCTGCTGCTTTTTAAGATGCTTTTCATACAGGTTGCCTTGCTAGACTGAGCTGTAAGGGCAGTAGGTGAAAGTAATTCTGCCAGTGAAACTACTTTTGTTTCTCGCATGCAATCTTGCATTCCAGTGCCGGGTACTTAGGTTTCGAGCTACCAGAAAGCAATTCTCTGTGGGCCTTTTTTTTCTTTTTTGTGAAATTATGCAGGATAGCAAACTTGAGAAGGATGTTTAGTCTTAGACGTTTAAGCGTCCCAGTATATCTAAGGAGGATTTATAAAAGGCTTAAGACTTCTCATGTAGAATAAAGAATGGTTTTGACAAACACTCTCTAGTTCAAGAAGCAGAACATTTGTAATACATTCATGATAACATGGCAAAACATCCTGAGCAGTAAACAACATTCCATTCTTCAGAGATGAAAGGAGGTCTTTGAAACTGAAAGCGAGTACAATATGGCCTTAGGCTGATACACATTTGGGCATCTTTAAAATCATCTTTTTGGGCAACCTGTCTGAGAATAATTTAAACAGGCAGGATGTACTTTCTCATTTCAAATTGCAAATACAGACAGCTTTGCTCTCAAGTAATCTTAAATGTCAGAACGTCCTGACTATGCAATGGCAAGGAGTAAATCTGTGCATAATACTCCTCTGACCTTTTTTTTTTTAAAAGCCTAGTATCTTAGTAGACATGTATGGTGAAGAAGTTATTCCTGAATATGAATGATCCTTTGAAAGTATTGAATCAAATCACTGATGCTAACTGCTTTAAGTTTGAGTGAGACTTCAACTTTCCTTGGACAATGTTCTTTCTACAATGTTTGTATCTCTTATGTCCATGTTAGAGCAAAGTTGACTCCGTGCAGCTTCTTTTTATCGTTGCCTACTGCAGTAATTAAAGGAAAGGAATTGTTTCAAGCCATTATTGATGTAAACTGAAGCCCTAAGGTATTTGGGGAGACAGGGAAAAATAATCAGCTACAGTATGTATTAAAAAAGCAAAACTGTAAGCAAACCTGTTACGTATTTGCCTTTCTTTATGCAGTATCAAAATGTAATGGGTACTGGAAGAGTGCAGCTCAGCAGACTGGCTTGGTACGGATCTGCTACCTTCTGTTGCAGTAGGTGTGAAGGGCTAAGAACAGAGTTTTGTTAGCATACCGTGTTTCCTTTCTCCACAAACGAGCATCTGTGCTTAATTGGGATGGTTCTTCAGCCCTAGGTATCTGTCTCTCCTCACCCTGCCACCTGGCTTTGCACCTCTTCTGGAAAGTCTTTTTCCTGGGATAGCTGAATGCCTGATTCCTGCACATTCACCCTATCTTGTGCTCTGAAATTCTGCTTTCTTTAATTGGTCTTTTAAGGAGCTCTATTATGGATTATTTTAATCTGGGAACTAGAACATGTGGTGGCACGAGCATGTGCTTTACAGCTAGAAGCCTGCTTACCAGCAGCCCTGTCACCTCATAGTGTGGGGGGTAACAAATAAAGAAGAAAGATGTTCTTGCCCAGAGGAGCATCTGTCAACTAATTTGGACCTAAAAGCAATATAAAAAGGGTAAACTGTATCTTGCCATGATTATTGCTTATGTGATGCTAAACTTGAAATAGCAGTAGGGGCAAATCCATGATGATCATGGAATAAAAAAAAAATAATAAAGCTAATGCTCTAGGCCTAATTTAAAAAAAAAAAAAAGAAAAGAAAAAAGCATCAGTATAATGGGAATTCTTTTCCTTTCTTGTTGGAAACACTTGTTTGGGTAGTTTTGCATGTTCTCTTCACTGCAAATTTAACATTTGAATGGTATTGTTCAGAAAGAGTAATTTGAGAAAGCCCTGGTAAGAAAATCCCTCTATTGTGAAAATGTGTTAATTGGTGCTACTTGTATTCCAGAGGTGGTAATATCTTCATCTCCCTCTGGACACTTTTGGATACAATGAGGGGTAGAGGCCTTTGGATTTGATTCATATGTGGTTTGGGGTTTGTGTATTTGTTACCCACCTCTTCTCCCCCAGTTTGGGGGCATGTGGTGAACAGTAATGAAATAAAGGGTGGGAAGAACTGAAAAATAACTCATCTTGAGAAGGGAGAACACTTCTAAAACAAGTTAGAAAAAAGTAAACTTGAAGCCACAGACTTATTTTCCCAATTCTGTGTTGTGTTTCATAGTTTTTATTGGTTGGTAACATGCCCCATAATATTTTCAGTGCTGAGAAATAGTCGAGGATTATTTTGGATTAAATTTTACTGCTTTTCTGATGATAAAGCTATTTGGAAACAGCTTTGTCTAATTCTCACTGTAACTGGAGTTTTAGAAGTTTGAAAACCCTTGCAGATATTTAAAACTTTTTTCTGTGAGGAAACAGGCTGCAGTTCTGAATCCTTAAACTTTCTTTCCTTCTATCCAAAGGTGTCCTGGGCCCAAGGTTGTCTTTGGCCTTGAACTGAGAGCTGTATATTTGTGTGGTAGCATGCAGCAGGGAGGGGAAAAAAGTCTACATGTGTTTTTGAAAGTAGAGTTTGGAGACTGGCTGTCACGCTTAGGGTCAGCTTCTGAAGGCTGTGGTTGGACCATTCTTCTACTTGATACAGGAAAACTTCGTTGGATGCCTGCATTTCTGTGTAATTTTTTGGGGGAGGCTGCTTGCTTCTCATCCATTTTCTGGCTCAATGATAACACAGTAACTACTTAGAAGTGATGCGGTCTCTCTTGCCCCCACATGCTGTTGGTGGTGTGTTCTTCACTTGTCTCCTTCCACGTTGGTCACATTGACTGACTCAGCGGCGAATCTTTTCATTCTTTTTGCCTGATCCAACAGCAAAGGAAATTTCCTCTTTCCAGATACTGCTTGTGGCTGTTCTGTCCACTGCCAAGACTGGCTGCTCTGTTAGTAAGTGTCTGTCTTGCCTTGCCCGTAGTCCGACTCTGCTGTGGAAACTGAGGCTATTGCAAGTAGCTGCTACAGAAATAAATTATGCCGCTGATAATCTGTGGTCAGTGCAGAGCCATTCAAGTACTTACTGTCCATCAAACTCCCAGCTCTGGCCAACATGCTTAAAATAATGTGATACTTCCAGGGTGATGCACATCTTGTAATACAGCAATCCACAAATAAGCTTATTATTCTCCTTCTGGGAAGAAGTTTGGCAAGAAGAAATGGGAGAAATGTCTCCTTTACCACACTGGTCATTGCTCCATTTTTCGCATCGATCGTGGGTGGGGAAAACAAGCTTGTTGTCTTTTCTTTTAGGGCCAGGTCTCTGCCACATCTGATCACTGTTAGCAGAACTTAAACTTACCCTT